TGCATAGGCTGGCCAGTCATGATTATGGTTAGATAAACAAATACGATTTTTGTCTCTTTCTTCCTCCCAGTGTCAAGCAATGGGCACAGTCCGATTTGATTACTGTTTTCTCTATAATAAAGTTTAAACCAAATACGATTTTCTAATAGTAATAACGGAACCGGTGCTTCTATTGCAGTCTATAATAATCTGTTGTTGGTAAAAATTGCCGCTGATCCTCATTCTCTCTACAACATCATCTCAACGTAATCTGTTTCGTCGGACTTTTATATTACTAGTTGAAAAGCAGTCTGTTCTATGATCATTACTGAATTATAATGAAGAAAATGGTTATTTAGCAAAGTTAGTTCGGTCATACGATGAATTTCTTGAAAAGAATATGAGTCAAGCTTTTACAGTTAGTAGTAATGCTTCAAGCACTGAGGAGTTAGAAACTACTCTATAGATACATAGCTCAATTATGTAATAGAATTCGAAATCATCAACAACTGGTGCTTTTAGGTTTCAGGGAATTATTCTGGTGAAACCGTTGGATCCGAGTATTTCACCGTTTTACGGCAACCCCTGCTAACGCATGACAGAGAATCAGAGTACCAGTGGTACTCTGAACGTATCACGACTTATTTTTTCAAGCTATTACTACACGACCTTTCTTTGCAAAGTTATAGAATTTACAAGAAAAGCCCTAAATTAATTTCTTCTTATTTCTGTAGCTTTGGGCTAACAAGGAACATTTAAGGCTTTTCTTGTAAATTCTATAAGTATGCAAAGAAAGGTCGTGTAGAGCTGGGAGATGTCTCATTTTAATCAGAAATGTGCAGGCTACAATCATCTTTTACTAAGAAAAGGTTTTGATTATTTTTGAGAGTTTCTGAAAAACTGGTTTTCCAGAAAACCGGGTCTTGAGAGAGAGTATTGGACCCGAATGATGGCCATAATCCTTTTAGGCTTTTTATTAGCTCGATATACTCTATCGATTGAGGTATAACTCATTAGAAACGGAGGGTATCACCTCGGACGGTTCCCTCGTGAGTGCCAGTCCTGGATACTCCATGGAAATCAGATACCACGTCCAAATCACTCAAAATCAAAGTCTCGCTTGGTTCTCATTTTGAAGAGCACACTTTAGGCTACTTACTCATAAGAAAACCAATTTATTGCTACTTTATCGTTTAGTGTTACAAAACGGTTTTCTAGAGATCTCCTAGAAAATCCGTCATAGTTTAAAGTCTTGACTAACGAATCGCAAAAAAACAGAAATTTCTATTGCCTGTCGTTCTTGAATTATTCAAAAATCACTGATCGGCATATGAAAACCCATCAGAAAGGAACCTAGTAGAAGTACCCTCGATGGAATGCGCACATAGGATATACATGGCATTTTGAGATTCCCAAAGATGCCTGCTCGAAGATAGATACGTGCTCGGGGAAAGCGAGCCCTGGCCGAACGATGATAGCTGGAGAGCCGGGACTTGCATGACTTTGTAGAGTAATGTCCGGACTATCTATGCATGCAAAAAGATTACCAACATTGTATGTTAGTTTTTTGAGAACAGAGCTAGTTTTCTAGAGATCCTCTGGAAATCCGATTTTTGAGATTTTTCAAAAGTTATTTTCGCTTGTAAAAAGTTCCGTACAAGTATTGGCTATGGAACAGCGAAAACTGTAGGCCTCTATCTCAGTTGTATCAAAAGTTATTAAAAAAACATCCATCTGCTTTGACTTCTGGCGCCGATAGTAGTTAAAATTCAAGATCTTTTGTGGCTTTATGCAAACGAACTAGTAGAGAGTGAGACAAGAGAGAGACTTTTTCTTTTTACCTCTATCAGAGAGATTAGTAATGCTCAAAGAATGTAAAACTTTCATTGTATTATAGCATGTTTTATTTAAAAATGTAATACTAGCGTGGCGGACACGTTGACATTCAATCGAGTTTCGAAGACTCTTTTCTTTTGAGCCATGTGAATATTCAACATCATCTAGTTGTAATTATGGCGTCAAACTATCGGCGCCAAAATGCGGTGCACTACCATGTTTTTTAAATAATTTCTAGTAGAAAGAGCAAGAGAGCGCCGGTTTCCGCCATTCGAAAGAGGAGACTTGGAGGCATGTTTTTTCATAATCAAAATTGTTTTCAGAAAAGTTTTCTGAAAGGGGCTTTCTAGAAGATCTTTGGAAAACTAGGCTGTCCATAAACATTTTCCAATAGGATTGTATTGCTTTTTTCCATGGGTTAGTAGACCGAAGTGTTCTCTTCAAAATGAGAGTGAAGTGAGACCTTGATTTTTCGTGGTTCGGTCGTTGTATTGGATTTCTGACGAGTCGCAGGGCTGGCATTCGGTGACTATTGGTGGCCTTAATGACAGATGGACTATGGATAATCGACCAGGCTGAGTCTCGTGGTAATATTTGTTTTTAGAAAAAGTTTTAAAAAAATCTGCCCAAAAGCCAGTTTTACGGACATTAGGGTTTTCAGGCTGTTTTCACCTAATATTAGAAAATTTACTATTCACTCAAAAAAACATCAGAACGAGTTCAAAATATCAGAATGTACAGTATTCAAGCTATTATATATCTAATTTACAGGAGATCTTGAAATAAATTTTCCAAAACCTAAGGTTTTCCAAAAGCTGGTTCAACAAAAATATGCTTTTCGATTTTTTAGATCTTATAATCATGTTTAGCGGACAATATTATTCATATCCTAAGATTTTGAACTCATTCTGATGTTTTTTGAGTGAATAGTAAATTTTTTAATATTACACTTCACTCTCATCAGAGCATGGACAAGTACAAGTATACAAGTAAAGTAAAAGTGCTTGTACTTTGGAATAGTACTTGTACTTTTACTCTTGTACTTTCAACAAATACTTTGTACTTGTACTATGAGCATATTTATTATCGCCAACGAGGGAACCTCGTCTGGTGTCCCACTCTGTTTAAGCTCATATTTTGCTGATCGATAGGGCACATTAGTGTAACAAATAGCCTAAAAGAATTTGGGCTCATGCGGCTTCCTTCCCGAGTTACGATTGACTTACGAAGCACAGTATCCTATTATAACACTCCTTTTTCGGTCATTCATACGTCGATCGATACAGCGTATCGGAATAGTAAAAAGCCTAAAAGGGTTCGTGCCAATGATTCTAGAAGATCCGGTTTTCTGTTAAACCAGTTTTTCAGAAACTCTGAAAAATAATCAAAATCTTTCCTTAGTGGGTCATAATTGTAGCCCGCAAATTTCTGATTAAAATGAGACATCTTCCAGCTCTACACGACTTTTCTTTGCAAAGTTATAGAATTTACAACAAAAGCTCTAAATGTTCATTCTCACGTTTCATTCTCGTCAGCTCACAGCTACAGAAATCAGAAGAAATTAATTTAGGGCTTTTCTTATAAATTCTATAACTTTGCAAAGAAATGTCGTGTAGAGCTGTGAGCTAATCATGCCTCACTAACGAGGGAACATTCCCAAGTGATCCGCTCCGTTTGCCTCCATATTTTGCCCATATGTTGGGGTTATTATAGTAAGAAAAAGCCTAAGAGGATTTGGGCTCTTATTGCTTCTTTCAAAAGTTATGAAGTTTTTCGTTTTCTATATAGTAAGGTACATAACGCTCAAATTTTCATTTCTAAGTAAAACAATGAATTATTGGCTTAATTTTTTTTTCATAAATGCATTTAGCACCTATCAACTTTAAACATAATTTTGTGTCATTAAACTATAATACACAACGTGTTATAGAATGTTGGCTGTGAGAAGATACCCAGGTGAAACAATCAGACGGCAAGATCATACAGGATCAGAGGTACAATCTTGTAAAAGCTTACCACCTGATTATTGCACTTGAAGTGTTTTTTGGCGCAGTATAGAATAGTTGGATAGTTTGCCGGTGTCTTTTGTAAGGATCGAAAGGAAACCGTTGTCTCTTCTAACAAATCTTTTAGAAGAGAGCTGATTATGAATGAGAGAATTCAGTTTGATGATGTTGTTTCTCTGACTGATATTTATATCAATATTATCGAGGCGTATGTGGTCATAAACTTTTCGTGCAATAGCCTTAAACTGTCTATTGAAGTAGACATCCAACGGCTGAATCCAGGAAGTAGTTTTCTTTGGTATTTCTATTCTTTGACAATTTTTTAATTTTTCATAAAGCGTTTTGTTGCTTTGTGCATCCCATGAATCTGAAATTAAAAGAAATTTGTTGGTTCCGATTGCAGGTTCTAAAACGTTATCTCGCCAATATTTTAGAAGTGACGTTGACAGTTTACCAGACTTACTACACGTTAGAATAATATTATTAGCCTGAAAAGACTCTTTTTTTACATTTCCAGTTAATCGAGCAGAAGGTTCTTTTAAGCAAAGAAATAGAGGTCCCACTAGATGACCGCTCATACTGATCGTTGGCTGCACCGTATATGAATGTGTCGTATTATGTACAGAATGTACAGCAGCCAGAGTAGTTTTTTCTCCTTGAAAACTCAAGGTTCGGTTAGAATATAATTCTAGTTGCAAGCCTGACTGATCAGTGTTCAATACGTAATCAGGATTATATTTTTTTATTATTTTTTGAGCATTTGAGACAAAATCATTAGCAGATTTATAGATTTTCTGCTCATTTTGAACCTCTCGTTTGGTTACCAGTTTGGTTATTTTTCTCGAGCAAATATTGTACCGATGTTTGAAATCAAAAAGCCATTTTTCACTGGCAACAAAATCGTTCAAAAATATTTCTTTAGCTTTTTCTCAACCCCCACCGTCGCAGATCAATATCATGAACTGAAAGTAGCTTTCCACGAGCATTTTCAAACGACTCATAAACAAAAGCGTCAATTTGATTTATTTTATGTCTTTTCGTACCTCCCGATGCCAAGTATTTTCGAAAAGGTGTAATATAGCCTCTGTTAGGAACTCTTTTGAAGTGACGGTGGAACATGTTCCAAGAATGTTTTCTTTTACCAGTTTTACTATTTTTTTCATCATAAAACTGCACTGCCTAATCCATATATTCTAAAGAAAACTGATTTAATAGAGTATTCTTTTTATCACTGTTATTAATTGTATAATCAGTCTTGTCTAATTCATTCATAGTAGTTTCATCACTATCTGTATCGGACTCTTCTGTGTCCGAATCAAGATTAACATCATAGTCAAAAGTACTTTCGTTTTCAGAATGATATGTCGTACTATTCATAATTGTGTTAATATTATCGAAAAGACGTTCTGCTACTTCTTCGTCTTTAGCAGAAAATGTAGTTGATTCACTAGAGGGTAATCGCCTTGAAACTAAATTCGGAAGAATTCGAACAACATTATGTGCATTTATCATTGTTCTTTGGTTTATGATAAGAAGTAATCGAATGGCTCACCAACGAGCTGTTAGTGAAGAGAAATGTGTGTAATGAAAAAAGGAGCAAAGAAGGTATCTATATGATCGTTGCAAAATTAATGGTCTCCCGAATCAGTGGTAAATTTCGTAAAATGTCTTGTATTATAGTTTAATGACACAAAATTATGTTTAAAGTTGATAGGTGCTAAATGCATTTATGAAAAAAAAATTAAGCCAATAATTCATTGTTTTACTTAGAAATGAAAATTTGAGCGTTATGTACCTTACTATATAGAAAACGAAAAACTTCATAACTTTTGAAAGAAGCAATAAGAGCCCAAATCCTCTTAGGCTTTTTCTTACTATAATAACCCCAACATATGGGCAAAATATGGAGGCAAACGGAGCGGATCACTTGGGAATGTTCCCTCGTAAGGAAAGGTTTTGATTATTCCAGTTTTTCCTTTAGTTTTCAGAGTTTTTGAAAAACCGGTTTTCCAGAAAACTGAGTCTTCTAGAGTCATTGGCGCGAACCCTTTTAAGTTTTTTACTATCCCGATACCCTCTATCGATCGACGTATGAATGACCGAAAAAGGAGTGTTATAGTAGAATAGTGTTCCTTGTTAGTGAAATTTTCGTTTTTGGCATTTTCACTGTAACGCACTGTTCCAGTGGGTTAAAGAGCTAAAACTCGCAGCAATATTAGTTCTAAGGAAAACCCGTATGCTGCAAAATTTTCTGACCTAAGTCTTTTGCCCTTTGTGAGAAATCTAATTTTTGTTTTTCATAGGGTCTGCACCGCCTTGCAACCTGAATATGAAATAATCGTTGTTTTCGTTTTCAAGTTTGCTTTGATACTCATAAGTTGATAAAATCATTTATTATCTCGATCAGAGTGCTCTTCAAGTGTTTGCGCTATTGAATTACACGATTAGGTTTTTCTCCATATTCAGGTCGCAAGGCGATGCAGAAACCCTATGAAAAGCAAAAATTAGATTTCTCACGAGGACATTTTTGCAGCATACCAGCTTTGCTTAGAACTAATATTGCTGCGAGTTTCAGCTCTTTAACCCATTGGAATAGTCACTAAGTCAATCGTAACTCGGGAAGGAAGCCACATGGGCCCAAATCTACCAACCTATGGAAAAAAGCAATACAATCCTATTGGAAAACGCTTACAGACGGCCGAGTTTTCTAAAGATCTGCTAGAAAGCTTCTTTCAGAAAGCTCCTAGAAGTTATTTAAAAAACCTGCTAGTGCACCGCATTTTGGCGCCGATAGTAGTATTTTCTTACCTTCTTGGATAGAAATAAACTTATAAAAACGTTAACTAAAAAATGAGTTATCTTTCGAGTGTAGTTGAATAAGGCAAAGAACAGATGGAAAATAGAATTAAAGTTCTATTTGGATGCACATGCAACAGTAACAGTAAAAGAACAAACTAAATCAACAATGAACGAACAACAGAGAACATCAACAAATAGATTGTGCTGTTAAGCAGCTAGTGTGTTTAGAAGTATATTGTTGCAGAAAATTCACTTTAATTTCATAGCATTTTCACACTTCACTCTCATAGCACTAACCCTAAACAAGTCATTTGAATTCGAAATTGAGCTCTTTTTAACATTTCAAGTATAAATCGCAACAAAAGCAAAAATATGATCTAATGAGTATGATTTCAACTCAAATTATATGTAATTGTACGACACAATCGCGTACAAATTTAACAAAATGATTTTGTATAGATGATACTGCACGTTTTCATACTAAATACCTGACTGACATATAATCAGATCCGTACCAAAATCGTAGTATAAGAAATCAGACGATCATACAGTACGAATCATATAACTTCTTACTTCTTGTACGATCCGGCACAATCGTGTGGGATTAGTACGATTCTTTGATTCTTTCTAAATTTATCCTAGCAGAAAGATACTGTATTATTTTTATCGCTCAGGGATAGTTTAATGGAAACTATGCTGGTCCAACAGTTCAGAAAAAGAAGTCAGTAGTGCACAGTGGGCATTTTTTGCTAGAGCAAGCGGACTTTAGCTTTATGAGCGAACTAAAATTTCTTGAACCATTTTTTTATAGGTTTTTCATGATCCTCTTTCTAATGGCATAAGAGTTGGGTTTT